TTGTCTTGTCTCTATAAGCCCCCGTCTCCTGCTGGTCCCTGCTCATGCTGCATATGAATTAGCAAATCAGTGAAGCCAAAAGATTGTGAGGTTGAACATCCAGCAAATGGACAATGACATAGTTCCACCTCAGTTTCCTCTTTAGCGTTGTAAGCCTATAAAAGGGGAGAGAAACTGCAGCTTGGGGAGCTTAGTGAATGAGGCTGTAGCCCCCACAACAGCTCCAGGCTGAAAAAAAATTCACGTCCTTCCTCAGTTTGGTGTTTGAGAGGTTTGTTCCCCGCCGCTCTTGCTACAATGGTAGAGGACTTTAGTACCCCATTCAAAATATCAGATACGGCATCCAGACAGAAAATAAATGAGGAAACATCTGGCTTGAAGAATGTTACAAAACAAATGAAACTAATAGACATGTATGGGACTTTCCACCCAACAGCAGAATACACATTTTTCTCAAGTACACAGGGAACATTCTCCAAACAGATCACATGTTAGGTCACAAAACAAGCCTTAACAAATTTAATAAGATCAACGTCATTCCAGGTGTGTTTTCCAATCAAATGAAAACAAAAACAAACAAACAAAAAAAACCTAGAAGCAGTAACAGCCAGAAAACAAAACAACAACAACAAAAATCACAAATATGTGGAAGCTAAACAATGTACTATTGAACAACCATTGGGTTAAAAAAATCAAAGGGAAATTAAAAATGTATCTCAAGCAAATCAAAATGAAAACACGGCATGCTAAAACCTATGGAATGCATCAAAAGCAATACTAAAAGGGAATTTTATACTGATAAGTGCCTAAATTATAAAGAGAAAAAAATCTCAAACAACTTAATTTTACACTTCAAGGAATTAGAAAAAGAAAAACAAACCAAGCTCAGAGTTAACAGAATTAAAGAAATCATAAAAATTAGAATATAAATCAAATAGATAATATTTAAAAGCAATTAAAAACAACAAATCTAAGATGGTTTTTAGGAAAACATAAAATTGACAAACCTTTAGCTAGACTAAGTGAAAAATGGAAAGGACTCAAATAGAGTAAAAAATGAAACAGGATACATTATAATTGGTAACAGAAATACAAAGAAACGTAAGAGACTATTATGAAAAATTATATGTCAACAAGTTAAACCTTTCAACAAAATAAATATAGAAGAAACCTACCTCAACACAGTAAAAATAGATATAGTATATATCATATATATATATATATATATATATATATATGGCATATATAGAAATATATATTCTACGGGAAATAAGAAAAGGATGAAAGGAAAGGATGACAATTATCACCACTTTTACTCAACATGGTACTTGAAGTCCTTGCCAGAACAATTAGGCAACAGAAAGAAATAAGAGGCACCCCAATCACAAAGGAAGATGTTAAATAATCTCTGTAGGTGAAAGACTTATACACTGTAAATAATAAAACATTGGTGAAGGAAATTATATAAGACAGAGATAAATGAAAAGACAGCCCATATTTTTTTTCATTGAGAGAATTAATATTGTTAAAATGTCCATACGACCCAAAATGAGCTATAAAGTAAATGTAATCTCTACCAAAATCCAATGATATTCTTTACAGAAAAGGAAAACACTCTATAATTCATATGAAACCTTAAAAAACCCTGAATAGACAAAGAAATTTAGGGCAAGATTAACAATGATGAAGGTATCACGCATCTTGATTTAAAATTATATTACAGGCCGAGCGTGGTGGCTTACGCCTGTAATCCAAGCACTTTGGAGGCCAAGGTGGGCAGATCACCTGATGTCAGTAGTTCAAGACCAGCCTGACCAACATGGTGAAACCCCATCTTTAATATATATATATATATATATATATATATATATATAACAGGCTGGGTGCAGTGGCTCATGCCTGCAATTCCAGCACTTTGGGAGGCTGAGGTGGGTGGATCACCTAAGGTCAGGAGTTCGAGTCCAGCCTGGCCAACATGGAGGCCAACAGCCTCCCCATCTCTACTAAAAATACAAAAAAATTAGCTGGGTGTGGTAGCATGTGCCTGTAATCCCAGCTACTTGGGAGGCGGAGGCAGGAGAATTGCTTGAACCCAGGAGGCAGAGGTTGCAGTGAGCCGAAATCATGCCACTGCACTCCATCCTGGGCAACAAGAGTAAACCCCATCTCAAAAAAAAAAAAATCTATATCTATATCTATATCTATATCTATATCTATATATCTATATATATATCCATCTCAAAGCTTAGGTAATCAAAACAGTATGGTAAAAGCATAAAAACAAACACAGGCCAAAAGAACAGAATTGAAAATAGAGAAATAAACCCACATCATTACAGTCAATTGATTTTCTACAAAAATGCCAAGAATGAACAATGGGGAATAACAGTCTCTTTAATAAACAGTTATGGTGAAACTGAATATCCATATGCAGAAGAATGAAGTTGAACTATTATCTCATACTATATAAAAACAATGCAAACTGGATTAAAGACTTAAACATATACAAAACTGTTGAATTACTAGAAGAAAACACAGGAAAAACATCTTGAATTGGTCTGGGCAATGATTTTTTGGATATGATCCCAGAGGCATAGGCAACAAAAGCAAAAGTAGACAACTGGGATTACGACAAACTAAAAAAAAGAAAACAACAACAACAAAAAAACCAAAAGCCTCTGTACAGTACAGGAAACAGTCAATAGAGTGAAAAGGCAACCTATAGGAAAGGAGAAAATATTTGCAAATCATATATCTAATAAGAGATTAATATCTAAAATATATTGAAAACACTTGCAACTCAATAACAATGAAAATAACTCAATTTAAAAATGCATAAAGAACCTGAATAGACACTTCTCTAGATAACACATATACTAAGCAGAAACCTTACATGCCAGAAGGAACTGGGATCCCATCTTTAGCCTCTTAAAACAGGGTAACTTTCAGTTGAAGATTTTGTTTGCAGCAAAATTAACTTTCATAAATGAAGGAGAAATAAAGTCTTCAGACAAGCAAATGCCAAGGGAGTTTTTCACTATCAGACCAACCCTACAAGAAAGGCTAGAGTTCTAAAACTTGAAACAAAAAATCGATATGCACCAAGATAGAACCTTTTGAGAGCATAAAACACACAGGTCCTATAAAATAATAACACAATGAAGAAAACAAAACATCTAAGCAACAATCATCATAATGACTGGAACAGTACCTCACATTTCAATATTAACATTGAATACAGGCCAGGCGCAGTGGCTCACTCCTGTAATCCCAGCACTTTGGGAGGCCGAGGCTGGTGGATCACCTGAGGTCAGGTATTCAAGACCAGCCTAGCCAACATGGTGAAACCCTGTTTCTACTAAAAATACAAAAATTAGCCTGATGTGGTGGCGGGTGCCTGTAGTCCCAGCTGCTTGGGAGGCTGAAGCAGGAGAATCTCTTGAATACTGGAGGCGGAGGTTGAGTGAGCCAAGATTCTGCCACTGCATTCCAGCCTGGGTGACAGAGCAAGACTCTGTGTGAAAAAAAAAAAAAAAATCCAAAAAAACAAAACAGCAACAAAAAAACCCCATTGAATATAAATGGTCTAAATGCTCCACTTAAAAGACACAGATTGGCAAAATGTATTAAAAATCACAAACCAGCTGGGTACGGTGGCTTACACTTGTAAACCCAGCACTTTGTGAGGGGAAGGTGGGAGGACCACTTGAGGTCAGGAGTTCAAGACCAGCCTGATCAACATGGTGAAACCCTGTCTCTATTAAAAATACAAAAACTAGTCATGTGTGGTTGTGCACACCTGTAATCCCAGCTACTCAGAAGGCTGAGGCAGGAGAATTGCTTGAACGTGGGAAAGAGAGGTTGCAGTGAGCCAAGACTGTGCCATGGCACTCCAGACTGGGTGACAAAGCGAGATTCCATCTCAAAAAAAAAAAAAAAAAAAAAAATCGCAAACCAAATATCTACTGTTTCAAGTGACTCACCTAACAGGTAAGGATTCTTTTGACTCAAGATAAATGGGTAGAATAAGATATTCCATGCAAATATAAAATAAAAGCAAGCAGGAGTAACTATTCTTATATCACATAGAATGGACTTTAAAGCAACAACAGTAAAAAAAAAAAAAAAAAAAAAAGACAAAGAAGGTCATTATATAATGATAAAAGAATCCATCCAACAAGAAGATATTACAATCTTAAATATATAGGTACCTAGCTCTGGAGTCCCCAGATTTATAAATCAATGACTAGACTTAAGGAAAGAGAAAGCAACATCATAATATTAGGGAACTTCAACAATCCACTGACAGCCCTAGACGTATCATTGAGGCAGAAAGTAAACAAAGAAACACTGGACTTAAATTGCATTCTAGAGCAAATGGACCTAAGAGGTATTTACAGAACATTCTACCCCAAAACTGCAGAATATACATTCTTCTCAACAACACATGGAATATTCTTCAGTATAGACCATAAGATAGGCCATAACACCAGTCTCAATACGTTTAAAAAAATCAAAATCATATCAAGTAACTTCTCACACCACAGTAGAAAAAAACTAGAAATCAATTCCAAAAGGAATCCTCAAAATTATATAAATAAGTGAAAATTAAACAATTTGCTCCCAAATAATTTTTGAGTTAAAAATGAAATCAAGATGTAAATGACATCCTAAAATTCAGAGCAGTGGGCCAACAGGGCCTTTGGGCTCAGCAGCTATGAAGGATGAACCCCCAACACTCCCTAAGGCAGGTCACTGCTAGAAGGCACTCATGGGGGGGTACTTCAAGCCCCTCTTGTATTTCTTTGGATAAAATCAGGGGGACAAGAGAAAGCCCTAAGGGTGAGGAAGGCAGGGAGACTACCTTCTAGCCTATGGATTAAGGAAGAGGTGAGGAGGGGGCAGGTGCTGGGAGCAATAAACTGCTAAGTCCAGGGCCCATCCCCACACAAACACACACACCTACCTTTCCTCCCTCTACAGTCTTCCGCTGGGACGATATGGGGGCCCGGTGTTCCAGCCCCCATCTCTTCTCCCTTCCTATTGGTAGGAAGTTCGTAATTGCCACTCTGCTGTGATGTAGTGAAGCTAGGGCAGGGCCTGGTAACCGCTTTTCCTAATGATCTTTGTGTTTCAGACCTGGATCCCAGAGACCATGGAATTAGCAGATCTCAAACTTTACCCCAATGAGGAGCTGGCCCTCATCTCCTTTTTCTCCATGCTAGGGAGGCCAATTTAGGCTCACATCAGGCACTCCTTGATCTCCACCCTTCCCCGGAACAACTTAACATTCCAAATAACGTTTTTCTCCAGCACATAGTTGGCACTGCCCACGCTGGTCTTCAGGTGTGAGGTCGGCAACACTAGGTGCGGGTACAAATGTGTTCATGCTATTTTTTTTTTTTTTTTTGAGACGGAGTTTAGCTCTTGTTACCCAGGCTGGAGTGCAATGGCGCAATCTCGGCTCACCGCAACCTCCGCCTCCTGGGCTCAGGCAATTCTTCCTCAGCCTCCCGAGTAGCTGGAACTACAGGCACGCGCCACCATGCCCAGTTAATTTTTGTATTTTTAGTAGAGACGGGGTTTCACCATGTTGACCAGGATGGTCTCGATCTCGTAACCTCGTGATCCACCCGCCTCAGCCTCCCAAAGTGCTGGGATTACAGGCTTGAGCCACCGCGCCCGGCGCTATTTTATTTATTTTATTTTATTTTATTTTTAAGATGGAGTCTAGCTCTGTCGCCCAGGCTGAAGTGCAGTGGCATGATCTCGGCTCACTGCAACCTCCTTCTCCCAGGTTCAAGTGATTCTGCTGCCTCAGGCTCCAGAGTAGCTGGGATTACAGGTGCCCGCCACCATGCCCAGATAATTTTTGTAATTTTTTGTAGAGATGGGGCTACACTGTTTTGGCCAGGCTGGTCTCGAACTCCTGACCTCAGGTGATCCACCTGCCTCAGCCTCCCAAAGTGCTGGGTTTACAGGTGTGAGCTTCCATGCCGGCCTGCCCCTTGGTCTTGACAGTAATCTCCACAGGGGTGTGAGAGAACTTCTCAATGACAGAGTCAATCCAGTTCAGTGGCTAGACCTGGGTGCTGAGGCGGTAGTACATGAGCTCAAAGTCATCACTGGGCAGGATGCTGTGGTCATTGTCAAAGCAGGAGAGCAACACGCACTGGCAGAATTTTAGATCCTCCAGCTCTACCGAATTGTTCTTGTGACAGCCAGTGAGCTTGAAGAGCATGCAGTCATTGAAGCCCAGCTGCAACTTTGGCATTCCCTACAGAAACACCTTGAGCTTGATGGTGCCGAAGATCTCACTCAGCAAAATGCTACTATTGGAATTGACCAGCATGTTGGCAGACTCTATGACACCGCTGAAGACCTCGTGCTTCTTGTACTTGATGCTCTCAGAGCACCAGGGCACAGCGTTGTTGATGGTGAGTGGCACCTGTGACTTGCCCACTCTCCAGCTTCTTGCTCTGTTGTGTGATGTATTCCTGAAGGATCTTGCTGTTGGTGGTCTGCCAAAAGCTTAAGTCAGTGAGCTTGTCCAGTAACTCCTAGGTGATGACAAAGTTGTCCTGCATGCTCTCCTCTTCCAGCTCCTTAAAGAACGAAGTTTTTATCGATGTCATAGAATCTGCCAAACTGCTGGTTGTATGAGGAAATACAAGAGGGGCTTGATGTCCCCCTCATGAGTGCCTTCTCAGAATGACCTGCCTCAGGGGGAGTAGAGAGTCCCTCCAACTTAGCTGCTGAGCCCAAAGTCCCCACTGGCCCACTACTCTGAGTTTTAGAATGTTGTTAAAAAGATGAATCTAAAACAATAAGAAAAAAGAAAAGAAAAGAAAAGAAAAAGAAAATGGTCTTACTGCACAAAGCAATCCACAGATTCAATGCAATTCCTACCAAAATACTAACATCAATTTTCACAGAAGTAGAAAAAACAATCCTAAAATCATGTGGAATCAAAAACAAACCTGAATAACCAAGGCAATCCTAAGTAAAAAGAACAAATCTGGAAGCATCACATTATCTGACTTCAAATTATTCTACAAGACTATAGTAATCAAAACAGCATGGTAATGGTATAAAAGTAGATACATAGACCAAAGAAAAAGAATAGATAACCCAGAAATGAAGCCAAATACTTACAACTAACTGATCTTCAACAAACCATATGAAAACATAAATTGGGGAAAGACCCTATACAATATCTGGGTGCTGAGAAAACTAGATAGATACATGTAGAAGAATGAAACTGGATCTCTATCTCCCACCTTCTACAAAAGTAAACTCAAGATGGATCAGAGATGTAAATCTAATACTGGAAACCATAAAAATTCTAGAAGAAAACATAGGAAAAACACTTCTGGACATTGATCTAGGCAAAGAGGTTATGACTAAGACCCCAAAAGCAAATGCAAGTATAACAAAAAATAAATAAATGGGACCTAATTAAACTAAAAACTTCTGCACAGCAAAAGAAAAAATTATTGGAATAAGCAGAGGCCGGGTGTGGTGGTTCATGCTTGTAATCCAAGCACTTTGGAGGCCAAGGAGGGTGAATCACCTGAGATTGGGAGTTCAAGATTAGAATAAGCAGACAACCCACAGAATGGGAGAAAATATTTTTAAACTATTCATCTGACAAAGGTCTAATATCCAGAACTATAAGGAATCCAAACAAATCAGCAAAAATAAATAAATAAACAAATAAACAATGCCATCAAAAAGTGGGCAAGTTATATGAGTAGACATTTCTCAAAAGGAGATATACAAATGGCCAGCAAACATGAACAAATGCTCAACGTCACTAATTGGCAGGGAAATTCAAATTAAAATAACAATGACATATCACCTTACCCTAGCTAGAATGGCCATTACTAAAGTCAAAAAGCAAATAGATGTTGGCCTGGGTGTGGTAAAAAGGGAATGCTTATACACTGCTGGTGATAATGTAAATTAGTACAATCTCTTTGAAAAATAGTATGGTGATTTCTCAAAGAACTAAAAGTAGATCTACAATTTAATCCAGCAATCCCTCTATTGGGTATCTACCCAAAGGAAAATAAGTAATTATATCAAAAATATATCTGCCATGTATGTTTATCACAGCACAATTCACAATGACAAAGATATAGAACCAGCCTGAATGCCAATCAACAAATGAGTGGATAAAGAAAATGTGGGACATGTATATCATGGAATACTACTTAGTCATAAAAAAAGAAATAAATAATGTCTTTTACAGAAACTTTATGCAGCTGGAGGCCATTATTCTAAAAGTAACTCAGGAATGGAAAACCAAATACTATATGTTCTCACTTATAAGTGGGAGCTAAGCCATGGATACGCAAAGGCATACAGAGTTGTATAATGCACATTGGCGTCTCGAAATGCGGAAGGTCTTAGGGTGGTTCAGATGAGAAATTATTATTGGGTACAATGTCCATACTCTAGTGATGGGTACACTAAAATCTCAAACTTCACCACTATACAATTCCATGTAACTAATAAACACTTGTACCTCGAAAACTATATATATTTATATATATATAATATATATATAACTATTGCTTTATATATATATATACATATAAAGATATTATACATAACAAAATTAAAAAAATACAAATGGCCAAGAAGTATAAGAAATAGTGCTCAAAATTATTAATCGGAAAAATGCAAATCAAAAGCATGAGATATTACCTCACACCTGTTACAAAGACTATTATCAGTAAGATGAACTATAACAAGATTTGGGCAGGAAGTGAAGAAAAGATAACTCTTGTATACTGATGAGAGAAAGGGAAATTGGTATGCTTTATAAAAAATAGTATGGAGCTTCATTTCAAAATTAAAAATAGAATTACCTTATGATCCAGCAATCTCACTTTTGAGTACATAAGCTAAAGAAATAAAATCAGTATCTTAGAAAGATATCTACATTCTCATGTTCATTTGAGCATTATTCACAATAGTTGAGATATAGAGAAAACCTTAATGTTCACTGATAGATAACAGGATAATGATAATGTGAGATCTATTTATCAATCTAATAATAATAATATATATATAATGTAAGAGATGTGAGATATATAATGGAATATTATTTAGTCCTATAAAAGAAAAAAAAAATCACACTTTTTGTGATAACTTGGTTGAATCTGGATGGCATTATTCTAAGTTAAATAAGCCAGATGAAGAAAAACATATACCTCATGATATCACTTGTATATAGAATCTATAGAATCTAAAAATGTCAAACTCACAGAAACAGAGAATAGAAGAGTGGTTAAGTGGGGCTGGAGAGACTAAGATGTGGGAGGATGTTTGTCAAAGGATATAAAATTTTAGTAATGCAAGATAAATAGGTTCTGGTAATCTAATGTACAACAATGTCTCTAAAGTTAACAATATTGTATCACATACTTGAAATTTGCTCAGATGGTAGATCTTAAGTGTGCTCACCACACATGAAAATGTTAACTATGGCCGGGCGCGGTGGCTCAAGCCTGTAATCCCAGCACTTTGGGAGGCCGAGGCGGGTGGATCACGAGGTCGAGAGATTGAGACCATCCTGGTCAACATGGTGAAACCCCGTCTCTACTAAAAGTGCAAAAAATTAGCTGGGCATGGTGGCACGTGCCTGTAATCCCAGCTACTCAGGAGGCTGAGGCAGGAGAATTGCCTGAGCCCAGGAGGCGGAGGTTGCGGTGAGCCGAGATCGCGCCATTGCACTCCAGCCTGGGTAACAAGGGCGAAACTCCGTCTCAAAAAAAAAAAAAAAAAAAAAAAGAAAATGTTAACTATGTGAGGTGATGGATATGTTAATTAGTTTTTTTGGTGAATATTTTACAAGGTGTATATATATACATATATATATGTATATAAAATCATGAATTTGTATGCCTTAAATGCATATAACTTAAAATTGTTAAATATACCTCAATGAAATAGGAAAAAATAAAAGATGTTAATATAACCTGCAGAATAATCTCTGAAAATAATTCAAAAATATGATAAAAGAGATAACAAGAGATTAAAATGGTACACTAGAAAATCACTATTCAACACAAAATAAGGAAGTACTGGAGGAAAAGAGTAATGCAAATAAGCATAATACATATAGAAAATAAAAAACAAAACAGCAGAAGTCTTTCAAAATCAGTAATTACATTAAATGTAAATGAATTAAACTCTCTATTTAAAAGACATGAATTGGAAGAATGGATTAAAAAACATGATCCAGTGCTCGCTTCGGCAGCACATATACTAAAATTGAAACGATACAGAGAAGATTAGCATGGCCCCTGCGCAAGGATGACACGCAAATTTGTGAAGCATTCCATATTTAAAAAAAAAAAAAAACATGATCCAAATAAATGTTGTCTACAAGAGACACACTATAGTTTAAAAGGCACAAATAGGGCGGAAGTAAAAGAATGGAAAAAGATATTCCACACAAACAGTAGCCAAGAAAGAGCTGGAATGGCTATACTAGTATCAAACAAAATATACTTTGAGGAAAAAAATCTTACTAGAGACAACAAGTGCCAATTTATAATCATAAATGGGTCAATCAGTCAAGAAGACAATGCAATTATAAATATATATGCACCTAGTAACACAGCCCCAAAATACATAAAGCAAAACCAGACAGAACTGAAAGGAGAAATCAAGAATTCAATAGTAATATTTGAGATCTTTAATACTCTCTTTCAATAATGGGAAGATCAACTAAGCAGAAGATTAATAATAAAATAGATGATTTCATCATCTCTACAAACCAACTAACTACAAGAGGAATCTACAGCATATTACACCCGACAGCTGCAGAATGCCTATTCTCCTGAAATACATATAGTAATATGTTAGGGCATATATATGCCTCAATACAGTTAAAAAGATTAAAATCATATAAAATATGTTCTCTATAGAATGAAATGAGATATAAAATTAATAATAAAAGGAAATTGTAAAATTCAAAAATACGATGGAAATCAATTAAATGATTCTAAATAATCACTGACTCAAAGAAACCACAGAAACCACGAAGGAGATTAGAAAATACTTTGGGATTAATCAAAACCAAACCATATTACATCAAAATTTAGCAAATGCAGCAAAACAGTGCTTAAAGAAAACTTTTCTATCTATAGAAACCTACATTACACAAGGAGGGAGCATCACACATTGGGGTCTGTGGGGGGGAGATACGGGAGGGGCAGTGGGGGGGTGGGGAGTTGGGGAGGGATAATATGGGGAGAAATGCCAGATATAGGTGATGGGGAGGAAGGCAGCAAACCACATTGCCATGTATGTACCTATGCAACAATCTCTCATGTTCTTCACATGTACCCCAAAACCAAAAATGCAATAAAATATATATTTAGGCTGGGCGCGGTGGCTCAAGCCTGTAATCCCAGCACTT